TCCTAGGCCACCATACTTCTGCCCCCAACCTCCTTGCACTCTTTCCTTTGGACCAGGAGGAGGCTTGTTAGCCGAGTCTAGACCCTGCTGCTGAGGCAAAAACATTCCGGTCGTCCCTTCTACTACATATCTTCTTGCTCCATAGCCCTCATTGTAAAGCTCTGAATTTTCTCTCTCTTCCTCCCTTCTCTCCCCCCTCGCCCCCATGCTGCAGTCCATGCTGTGGAGAGTAAGTGGCCCTGACCCTGGGGAAGCCAAGCCCCCACGATCGGGGGGAGGTGTGGATGGGCCTGGGATTGGGGCCTTGTCTGGCCTGGCTGCTGGGTGACTATAAAAAGCACTGGGACATATTTTTGAGTTGGGGTTCCTTGCAGCAGGAGGAATCAGGGTTAGAGGGCAGGAAGAACTTATTCTGGAACTTATGGTTCAGGTACCATAGGATTTCCTTTGGGGAGCTCTGAGGGTGAGGGCAGCGGCGTCAGGGAAAGAGCTTGGGTAGCATTCTCGGGTCCCACCGCACTTTGGGATTCAGTGATTGGCCATCGGCTCTAGTTAATGAGAGACCAGAGTTGGTGGCGTTTGTTTCTTGAGGGCTCCCTACATATATCAGGGAAGAGCTGTAATCTGTGTTCTTAGGACCCGCAAGGAGGGCATGGCCTCTCCCATAGGCCCAAGGCAGGCCCTTTCTGGCTGCCCTCAAGCAAGGCCAGGCTGGGAGGGAAGGGGGGCTGAGGGGTCAAAGAAGAGCAGGGGGGGGTCACACTCCAGAGGGAAGAGCGAGGAGGCCTGAGCGAGGACTCAGGGAGCCAGTGGCCAGTCCTGCTCCACCAGGTGACACTTTCCCCCTTCTCTTCTAGTCCACGACTTGCAGAGCTTCGGCCTTGACAACGTATGTACCAGGTGGAAATAATAGAGGGCGGATGGGGTGGGAGATGGTTGCTGCCTTAATTTCTCTAGGGACATCCTGGGTTGGGGGAGCAGATAAAAAATATATACCACATTCTGATTGGGGATCTAGACTGAAGGTTGAGTAACTGGGAGTGACTTTTGAACTGAGATCTGTGCAGGCTGGGGTTGGACAAGAGCATTCCGGTCAAGGTCAGAAGGGATGTGGCACTGAACCCCAAGGGGCAGTGCCATTATGGACGGATGAGGCTGGAGAGGTTGGTGGACACCAGACCACAGGATTCAGGGGCCATGCTGAAGAGTCTAGTCTTTGTCCTCAGGCAGTGGGAGGCTGTTGGCCTGCCTTAACTAGGGTCATGACATAATCATATTGGCATATTTTTTAATATCCCTCTAGTGGCTGAGTTTGATTTAGACTAGAATAGGACAGGAGTGGGAGCTGGGAACCCTCCAGCCTGGGTTTCCTTGGCTTGAAACCTCAGGGAAAGCTAGCACCTGACACTAAGGACCCTTGCCCGTCCGTGTTTGCCTAATGTGTACGGATTCAAGCGGAACCTCAAACTTCGGAACCCCTGCAGACCGTAGGCTCTGTGAAGGAGGAGTTCCTAAGTGGGGAGTGGGGTGCCTGTCTCAGATTCTCTAACAGGGCCCCTCCATCCTACCCCATCTCCACACATCTACTCCCCAGACCCGGGTATCCCTGGCTTCTACTGTCCTGCAGAGCTTTTGATGGGGTGGGGTCTGCTGGGGCCTCTAGTGCTCTGAGTCCCAGGTGTTGCTTACAGATCAACATGACCCACTACATCCGGCACCTGTCATTTGGGGAGGACTATCCAGGCATTGTGAACCCCCTGGACCGCACCAACGTCACCGCACTTCAAGGTACCAGCCTGGAAGGTAAACCCAGCTCCCAAAGCCCTGCCCGACACCCATGCCCAGTGCTCTCTTCTCCCTGCAGCCTCCATGATGTTCCAGTACTTTGTGAAGGTGGTACCCACAGTATACATGAAGCTAGATGGGCAGGTAAGTCTGCAGGAGCTCAGATAGCAGAGGCCCTCTCGGTGTCAAGCACTGGAGTTCCTTCAGCCTGGGAAGTGAAGTGCTGCTCTTCTTCCCATGTGATGGGTGACAAGCCAAGGCTTGGAGTGTAGGCGTGTGCCCACCACGGCCCGGGCTGTCAGATCTGAGAGGACTTGCTCAGGCTGCATCCATCTGTTCCTCCAGTGCCCCCTGTCTGCCTCACTGTACTCCATGGTCTGCCCTGGGCTGGGGGCTAACCTTTCCTGGGCCCCCTGCTTCCCTTTCTGCTGTGGCCTGTGGAACAGCAGCTCGGCAGACTGCATGGGACTGAGTTTGCAGAGGAGTCAGGCCTAGCCTGGCCAGGTGCTCATGCTGCGTCCTTGAAGAGTTGCTTCTCATCCATGGACACCCGTTGTGAGAATCCACCAAATGTAGCTGGGATTGGTAAACTCTAAAGAGCTGGTGACCAGCGGAGAAGCTGGGATCGTTAAGCTGGAAGAGGGCATCTAGGTGGTCCCCAGGCCTTGCCACATTTGTTGCCAACATGGCACCTTGTTTTCTCCTCTACAACTCAAGGTGCTACAGGACACAGGGCAGGAACAGGGGTAGGGTGGAGGGGGTTGGGAGTCAGGTTGTAGACCTACCCTAGTCCAGCTCCCCTCTCATCCCAGGTGCTGAGGACAAATCAGTTCTCTGTGACCAGACATGAGAAGGTCGCTAATGGGCTGCTGGGCGACCAGGGTCTTCCCGGAGTCTTCGTGCTCTACGAGCTCTCACCCATGATGGTGAAGCTGACAGAGAAGCACAGGTGAGGGTGGGGAAAGGGAGGGTACTGGGCCTGGTGGCAGTAGGGGTGCCTGCTGATCCCCCCACTCCTCTTCCAGGTCCTTCACGCACTTCCTCACGGGCGTGTGTGCTATCATCGGGGGCATGTTCACAGGTTAGTAGCTCTAGGGTGTCTGTCTGGGGTTGGGGTGTGGTGGGGAGTGTGAAGTCTGGGTTCCCCATAGATTTTGGTTGGGGAAGAAGGGGCACCTCAAGGCCAAGGGGAGATGCTGACCTAGTGAGTAAGGCTCTGGTGGTCAAGCCAAGGGCCCAGCTGGGCCAGTTCCAGTTCTGTCTCTCTCCCCAGTGGCTGGACTCATCGATTCACTCATCTACCACTCAGCACGAGCCATCCAGAAGAAAATTGATCTAGGGAAGACAACATAGTTGTCCTCTTCCCCCCTTGCCGTCCCCTCTTTCTCTTGTTCTCTGATTTTGTGGTCATTTTCCCAGGCCCCCCTACTTCATATTCCCTTCCCGGAGAGTCCTGCTCAGCCCCAGGTTGATAAATCTATTGGTTGTGATAGTACTCACTGGTCTCTGTGTGGTTCTTGGGTCTGGTCAGAACCTGGGGACAACCCCTCATCACAGCCACTTGTTGAGGGCAATCAGGACTGACAGATCAGGCCAGACGCCCTCTGGGAGCCCCATGTGGACATTTCCTGGTGTATAGGGCTGTGTTCAAACTAGACTGATGCTGGCCACACAGCCCTCTCCTCAGTCTCCTGCACTGTGCTCTTTGGGCCTTCTGATTTCAGCCTCAGGGCTGAGATGGACCTTTGTAGGATGAGTTTCCTGGAGCCACCACGGCTCCCAAGTTGATGAGTCCAGTGTTAATAATAGAGCCCTAGAGCAGTGACACCTGAAGCTGGGGCCCCTGCCACTCTGGGTTCAGTCACCTGGATCTGTGGCCCTGCTCTGTGCCAGCCCTTGTTGGCTCTTGGTGCCGAGAGGTGTCCACCCAGATCCTGTGCAGTCTCCTAGGCGGGGGCAGAACTGAAGAACAGGGGAGGAAGGTAGCAGCAGTCATTCTGCAGCAGAGCTAGCACCAGATCCCAGCTCTGGCCTTAGCAAGGGCTTCCCATTAGAGCTTCCCAATGTAGAACCAGGCCCTGAGAACTCACCACTCCCAGAGACCTGAAGCTGGTCAGTTCCTCCCGTCATGTCTCGGGGTTTCAGTGTAAGACAGTAGAGGGAGAAGCGAAGAGAGGACAGAAAGCAAACTAGGGCAGTAATAGCAAAACCCTGGAGGCAGGCAGACCTGAGCTCCAGCGCTGACGTTATCAATTACAATCTGAGATGTTGGGCATGTTGTTGATCTATGGGCACCAACCTCATCTATAATTGTGGGTGATGGCTGTAGAGAGCCTTGTTTTTTGACCACCCAGGAACCATCCCCATTTGTTAACAGTATCTTGCATTTCTTCTGGGAAGCCCCTTCCATCCTCTCAGCCAGAGGTTTGGGAAGAAGATCGATCTCCCACCCTGAGCTCCAGGGGAGGGTTCCATCAGCACATCCTATCCCCCTGGTCACGGTGACACAGTACGAGCCAGGCTGTCAGGACTAGGTAAGCTTTCCTTCAGATGTGAATATGGGGACACGTGAGGTTGCTGCAGCCATCCTGCAGTTCCAAGGGGAGACCCTGTTGGTGAATGAGCTGCCCCCAGAGGATAGCAGAGCTGAGCCTCGAGGCAGAGAACCAGTCTTGGTGACATCATTTGAGCCCTGTGACAAGCTGCGCCCAAAGCCAGCCAGTGAAACCTGAGAACTATAGTCATTCAAGCCAGTTTGGGTTGGGATTGCTGTTACTTGCAGCCGAAAGTGTCCTTAACTGATATGGCTACCCTCAGAGTTGGTGAAGAATATGTAAGTCATTGAAGTCTGTGAAGTGCTTAGCTGTTATAAGCAGATTAGGTGAGAGGGACCCAGCCATTGGCAGGAGCAACCGATAGGCTCTCAGAGGGTATGACACCTCGCCAAGCAGGCCTTCTCAGCCCTGAACCTCCTGCCAGGTCCTATTCTTCCCGGTGGTGGGCCATATGGTCAACTTTCCACCCTGTGTATTCATTTTCCCAGTGAGTCCCCAGCATCTGAGGTCACCCAAGAACATCTCTATTCTCTGCCCCTGTGTTCTGCACATTCTCAGTCATCAGAGTGGATGTGAGTGAAGGTTTATTCAAAGAAAGCAGTGAACTCGAGTAACTCATATTGGTGGAAAGGACTTCCGGGAGTAGGAGTGGAGGGGGTGGTGTGAGGGGATGAGTGTCCAAGGTCAGTTAGGGCCCAGGGGAGCGGTGGAGTGGCTGGAAGATGACCTGGCTGATCTGGCCTGGCATGCTGTAGAAGACGAGGAGGAGGAAGATGATGATCAATGCCAGCAGCACCAGGAGCACCAGGATGCGCCAGTACCGGCGCCAGATGAAGAAGACGCAGGTCTTCAGCAGGTTCACAAACCAGTTGAAGGAGATTTTGGGACGGCTGTTGGGGAACAGGGTAGGTGATCAGGTGACTTTGGAATGATAAGGAAGCCCTCGTCCTCTGGCACCTCCAACTCAAGCTCCAGCCAGCCTCCCAGCAGCCCACTCACTTGGGCTTCTCCAAGGGCTCAGGCTCCTTCCTCCCCATCCCCACTGGCCGTTTCTCCACCTCCTCCACCGTCAGCAGCTCAAACTCTGCCTCCACCTTTCCCTAGAGAAAGAAGAAACAGGCTGAGCTCTTAGGTCAGTGATGGTGAACCTATGACACGCGTGTCAGAGGTGACACGTGAACTCATTTTTTTGGTTGATTTTTCTTTGTTAAATGGCATTTTAATATATAAAATAAATATCAAAAATATAAGTTTTTGTTTTACTATGGTTGCAAATATCAAAAAATTTATGGTGACACGGCACCAGAGTTAAGTTAGGGTTTATCAAGATGCTGACACGCCGAGCTCAAAAGGTTCACCATCACTGTCTTAGGTGGCTCAGACCTGGCTCCCTGCCAGCCCAGTCCTGGGCCTGGCTGCACCCACCCTGAGGATATAGACGTTGCCTCCGGGGTCTGCAAACTCTTAAGTCTTCTGGCCGGCCCTTCCTCCTCCCCGCCACCTCTTCCTGCCAGCCTGGGCCTCCCGCTGCTCCCGCTCCTCATCCTCTGGCTCCTGAAGCTTCACCACAGGCCACCAGCCCCGCAAGCGCAAGCGACGGCAGCGGAACAGATTGCACCTGGGCCCAGCCCCATCACGGGCCAGCTGCACAGAGCAGAGCTCTGGGCCCCGGGCTCCCCGCACCATGTCTGGCAGCTTCAGCTCCAGGGATCCTGCAAGGCCAGAGCTCCCTGGGTTAGGCTGGAGACCAATGTCTGCCTGAGCCAGGGGCAGGAGGCAGCACAGTGGGATTGTAAGGGCATCAGAAGTTAGAATGTGGTGGTCAGGCACAGCTACGGACCACACACCGCAGCCCCCAATGAAACAGGGTCAAGGGCGGGACCAGACCCGAGGCCTGAGTCGGGGACTTTGGGAAGGAATGGAGGGGGTGATACATAGGGCTGAATAAATTCAGTAATTAGGCCAGAGAGCAAAGTTAGTGACCTAGGGCCTGAAGCCCAGGATCCGGGGTGAGTTAGAACAGGGAACCAGGGCCAGGACAGGGCAATGAGGGCAGAAAGCAGGGCTAGGTTAAGGTGGAGGAAGGCTTCGCAGTACCGAGGAAGTCATTGGCGGAGACGCGGTCATAGTCCCAGACCTGCAGGACCAGCACTGCCGGCTGCCGGAACTCAGCCTCTTCCAGGGCGAAGGGTCCAGGCCGTCGCCGGATGCTCACCCCCAACTCAATCGGCAGGTAGTCAAAGCGGGACAGGAAGCGCCAGTTGAAGTTTCCCTCCCCAGTCAGAGAGCTGAAGTACACGTCTGTCTCCTGCTTGTCCTGCTCCAGCCCCTTCACCCAGCTGGAGCCCGGGGGAGGCGAGGGGCAGTCTGAGGGGCATCAGCTGGGACCAAGCCCAGGACCCAGCTTGCCCCTGCTCACCCACCACCCCAGTCCCTCCACCCAGCTCCAGGCATCTTAGAGGGCTTAGGGGACAGGGCTTGGCTCAGCCCCAGGGCCCAAGCCCCAGCTGGCAATCTCACCTCAGTATGCAGGTACTTGTACAGCCCAGCGGGCAGGCCTACCTTTTCACGTAGATGTCACTGGACATCTCTCCAGTGAGTGGGTTCACGTCATCCAGAACCACATCCTCCGTGTTCCAGATGATGACTCTGAGCTCATAACTAGGGGGTGTTTTGGGGGGGAAGGGGGGGTTCAGATTCTTGAGAGGAATCCTGGGAAGGGCTTCAGGAAGGACCTGGGCCAGGGTCACTGACATTCATTGAGCACCCAGTGTGGGCCAGCTGGGTGATCAGGCTGTCTGTGGTCCCGTGAGGGGCAAGTATCACTGACCACCCTCGCCACAGCAGGTGACACCCAGCATGGTTTGCTGACCCAACTGAACCAGCAAGGTTCTCCCTCCCATAAATTTGGAATTAAATCCTGAAAAGTTGAGTCATGAAGCATCAAATGCAGGGTTGGAGCCACAGTAAGCCAAAGTGACATGCAACCTGAAGTTTTGGGGTGCAAAAGAGGGGCACGTGAGCAGAGAAAGCCAGTCTGCAGAGAAGTGGGAGAAGAGCAGAGTGGCAACGACAGCATACAGCCCCCGGGGCACAAAAGGAGGGCCTGCAACATTCTTGTTCCTCCCCCACCAGCCCTGGCCTTGGCTGTCACGGGTTTCCTGGGTATCTTCTCTTGCCCAACTCAGTGGTTCTCAACCTTCTGGCCCTTTACATACAGTTCCTCATGTTGTGACCCAACCATAAAATTATTTTCGTTGCTACTTCATAACTGTAATGTCGCTACTGTTATGAATCGTAACGTAAATATCTGATATGCAGGATGGTCTTAGGCGACCCCTGTGAAAGGGTCATTCGACCGCCAATGGGGTCGTGACCCACAGGTTGAGAACCGCTGCCTTAGGGGCTTTGTAATTGCAGCTCCCTCTGCTAAAAGGTTCTGCTTTAGATCTTTGCATGGCTCACTCGCCTTCTTCATTCAGGTCTCTGCTCAAATGTTACCTCCTCACAGGCCTTCCCTGGTCATCTAGTCTAAAAAAACCCTCCACTCTCTCTGTCCTCAGATTCTGCCTTATCTGTCTCTTTAAATAGAAAGTAAGGCAGGGTGGGCACTTCATTTTGATGACCACTGCATCCTTAGGTCCTGCCACCTAGTAGATGCTCAAAAAATGTTTGTTGGGTAAAGTAAAATACTTTATGAAACACATTTTGGACATTTTTTTACCCCCACTGATTTAAGTTTTTATTATGGAAATTTTCAAAAATATATGTGACTCTGAAAATTTTTTCACCTAATACTAATCCAAGAGCTTACACTTTTAGCTTATTACTGTTCTTCGCTCCAAAAGCAAAAAGGAACCTAGGAACATTTGCTATTGATTGAATATTGACAGAAGAGCCCTGACCAGTTTGGTTTAGTGGATAGAGCGTTGGCCTGCAGACTCAAGGGTCCCAGGTTCGATTCCGGTCAAGGGCATGTACCTTGGTTGCCAGCACATCCCCAGTAGGGAGTGTGCAAGAGGCAGCTGATCGATCGATGCTTCTAACTCTATCCCTCTCCCTTCCTCTCTGTGAAAAATCAATAAAATATATATATTTTTTTAAAAAATTGACAGAAGAATCAAATCTTCTTGACAAGATTCAGATCCACAAAACTGGATTCAGGGAAATTGGATCTAGTAGAAATAATAGCCACAAAAGAAAGCCATGTTGGTTAAAGCTATAAGTAGCAAAATATGATATGGGCAAATCTTTCACTGAAATGTCCCTGCCCAAGGATAATTTTTGTAATAAAATAATTTCATTTAAATAAAAGTGAAAATAGTTTAGTTTTACTGTACAGAAAATCAAGCAAGGAATTAAATTGAATTAAATGTGGTTGCTCTTTTAGAGATAGAGAGAATGGAGACAAAGAAGAGAGCTTTACAATGAAGCATTTGGAACATTTAGAGGTCAAGAAGAGAGGAAGCTGGCAAAATTGATGAGAAGAAATGGTCAGGAATGCAGAAGGAAAACCAGGGTCATGAAAGTTAACAGAGAGATTTTCAAGAAGGAGGGTGGGTCAACCGTGCCCACTGACTTCCTGAAAGATTGAGTAAAGTGAGGACAGAAAAGTGACCACCTACGACCAGGCCCTTGGCTGAGTTCCTCTTCCACACTGCCTCTAACTGCTGGAGCTCTCAGGTCCTCACATTTTTCTTTTCTCTGCTTCCTAGATGGTCTTATCCATTTCCATCTATGCATTTACAGCTCCAAATTTTTCATTTCCAGCCTAGAACCCTCCATAGAACTCTGCTTATATAGCTAACTGCCTGGCAGACATGTCCACTCATAAGTCTAATAGACATTTATGTCAAAGTAAACATATCCAAAAATGAGCTTCTGATATTCGATTCTATCAGACCTTCTTCTCTTGTTTTCCAGAGTAAATAGCACCATCTACATAATTGTGCAAGCCAACATCTTGGGAGTCGTTCAATACTTTTCTTTGCACATTTGCCTCATCCCCTATATATATCCATTAGCAAGTCCTAAGGCATCATCTCCAAAGTCCAAAATTGCTCTTGAATCCATTCATGTCCCTCTATGTCCACTGCAACCACCCTAGATTCAATTCATCATCAGTCACTTGGATTTGCACCATGCCCTCTTTAATAATCTCTCTGCTTCCTCTCTTATGTCATCCCTCCCCCACCGGTTCATTTCAAGGATAAGTTTGAGCACATCCCTTCTCTTTTCAGAACCTTTACTGGTAGTGGCTCTCCATCACACTCAGAGAGGAAGCCAAGGTCATGACAGTGGTCTACGCAGCTCCCACAATCTTCTCTGACCATCCTCCTCCTTTCCCCCTACACCCTCCAGCCTTATCTATTCTGCTCACTCTGCTGCAGTCACACTGCTTCCCTTGCTCCTCCTCAATCACACCAGGCATGCTTCATCTCAGGGCCTTTCCACATGCTGTCCCTTATGCCTGGAGCAGCCTTACAGACATGGTTTGCTCCTTCATCTTCTTCATGTCAACTTCACAGTGGCCTACTGCCCCCACCCCTTTTAAATTGCAACACTGCTCTCTAATACTTCCTTCCTTTATATTCTCCCTGACACTTATCCTTATCATACTTCTTAAATTTCTACCTTTTTGTTTACATGTTTCCAGCCTCCACCCCATCACCACCACCAAAACATAAGTTTCAGGAATTGTGGTGGGCAAGAATGCTTTTTTATTTCACTGCTACTCCGATGCCTAAAACAGTGTCTGGCACAGTAAGTGTCATGAATACTGATTGAATACATGAATTACTACCTCTTTTGAGAAGAGGATCAGAAAAACACTGACATACCTAGAGCAGCTTATAGAATTCATTCAGGTTAGTGAAGGTCAAAGATGGAAGCGACTGGGACAAGTGTATGTGGTTACATAATGACCTGGTAACTAAGGACCATTTGACTAATTCCTCCAGTAAGGGAGAGCAGATAAAATCAAGATCATAGGCCCAGCTGGTTTGGCTCAGTAGATAGAGTGTCAGCCTGCAGACTGAAGGGTCCCAGGTTTGATTCCAGTCAAGGGCACATGCCTGGGTTGCGGACTTGATCCCCAGTAGGGAGCATGCAGAAAACAGCTGATCAATGATTCTCTCTCATCACTGATGTTTCTATCTCTCTCTTTCTCTCTGAAATCAATAAAAATATTTTTTAAAAAAAAAATCAAGATCACAGCTGTGGCTGTGGGAGCAAGGATACTTCCTGCGATGTAGCAGGAAGGAAGGAGAGTAGATGGATACAGAAATTGGCAAAGGTAGTAGGCTGGTTGGAGGAAGGTGAGGCTTCCCTTTTATCTATGAAACCGGAGAAGAGGTTATTAGCTGGGACGAGTGTGGAGGAAAGGACAGGGGACATTTGAGGAGAGGAGTAAAAGCATAGGATTCTAGGAGCATGGGAAAGCAAGTTTATTGGAGGAGACTGATCTAATCCCCAATAATTTCCATCAAGCTTCCTCCATAGGGACAATCATCTTCTCATTCTTCTGTAAAGCTAAGTAAACGCAGCTTCCATCTGCCCTTGGGTCCAAACAGCCACCACCCTGGAGTTGGCACAGAGATAGGCTCTCAGCTCACCTGCTCCCAGCCACCAGCTCTTCCAACGCCTGCTTGAGTCGTGTGCAGGCGCCAGAGCCTGGCCTGCGCTGCAGACTCTCAACCTCCTGGAGCCCCTGGTCCTGCACAACGGAGCGGAGCGAGAGGGTCAGAGTCAGGAGTCCCAGACTCCGACCTTCTTTAGACCGCTCCCCACCCCAGGACCCCCCATTCACATCGCACCTCCTCGCCCCGCCCATTTTTGTCTTTAAGATGTTGGTGGATCTGTTTTTTCTAGCACCCCTACTGGGCGGGATCCCCCAGTAGCTTTACCCATGTCCTTCGCTGGCCCCTTCCTGGGTCCAACAATTCTGGATCCCTGAGCTCCCACAATTCTGGTTTCCTCAGTGCAGGCTCGAGCTGTGCCCTTTGACCCTCTGGCCTTGGATCAGTCACACGGGTCCTGGCTCCCTGTTGCTCTACCCACTAGCCCAGCTCCAGAGCTCCCTTCAAAGACCGCGGTCTCCCCGATGCCCCTCTGGCCCAGCCTCTCCCTGTGGGCGCCTGCCTCACTCTCACCAGCCTCTCGGCCACTTTCCGCACACAGTTACTGCTCCGCAGGCGCCATGTGTGATTCTCCCAGCGGCTCCACACACGCTCGCATGGTTTGCAGTGACGCAGGGGCAGGCATTGGTCTGGACCAGGGCGAAGAGGCGCAGAGGAGGTGAGGGGCAGTCCTGGGGCCGCTGGGGACCCCCCAGTGCCCTCCTTCTAGCCACCAGGAACACTCACCCACTGCCATCCATGGGTTCAGGCCGCTGAGCAGGGGTCCCCAGCTCCTCCTCTTCCACCAGCCTGACTCCCACCTCGGACTCCAGCAACGGCTGCGCCTCCTCCTCCCCGCCCTCCATTCCCTCCCGGGTCCTGGGCCCTCGGCCCAATTGCTCCTCCCGGCCTGCGGGACCTGCCCAGACAGAACAGCAAGGGTCAGAAGGCACCTGGCTGAGGGGCTGACCCCTCCCTCAGCCTCCTCTGTCTCAATAGAAGTCGGCGTCTACCCCTTACTGAAGGTTAACTGTCCCTTCCAGGAGCCTTAAGTCTGAAACAAGGGTGACCACCCTCAAACCCATGACCCTCAGAGGTTTCAGCTAGGCCACACACCAATGGAGATCTCGAAGATGATGGGCTGGGAGGCCATGGCAGGGTCGATCATGGTGGCCTCGAAGAGCACACCAAAAAGCAGGAAATCTTCACAGGGCGCCAGGGCATTCTGGGGAAGACAGTCAAGCTGGAGTCAGGCCCACCCTCCCAGGTTACAGCCCAGACTACGCTTGGCCAAAATGCCCACAGGAAGATATTGTAACCAAGGCCCCGGAAGAATCACTGCAGGTATCCCACCTCCCTCTCCGCCCCTGCAGCCCTAACCCACTGGATCTGGGGCTTGTTCTCTCTGGCCCATCTCAGATTGATCAGTCCCACTTCCCCACAAGTGTATATATACAAGAGCCACACAAACTGCCGTCTTCACCCAGGTCCTGCAGTTGAGAAGGCCCCCCCTCCCCTCGCGCGCGCGCACACACACACACACACACACACACACACTCTGTATCTAATGCCTTGGAGCCAGTTACACTCCAGGGCTGAGGGTGATCCGCTCCATTGCTAAACTCCGGCCCCCACCTCTGGCAGTGGCAGCAATTCCTCCACTTCCACCTCCATTGCACTGGGAACTTCAGGCACTGGCGCTGGCATCTAGATGCTGTTGAATCCTCGCTGGGGTCTGGCCCCGCCTGGCTTTCTTCTTCTTTCCCATGAGCTTGGACAACCTGGACCCCTGTGGAGCCTGGAGAGGCTCGGGTTCAGCTCTCCCTTCCAACACCTCCATGGACACAGCCACCAGCAGGCGGCCCCGGAACCAAAGGCCTTGGCCCAGGCCTTCGTTGAGATTTTGAAGACCATCCCGGATTCCCCCAGTTGGGGGCGAGCCGTACAGAGGCACCCAGGCTGGACCGAAGGTGGGGTTAAACCCCGCTGTTGGGGACAAAAACAGTATTTTGGAGAGGAACATGGGGCTGGTACTAAGTCAGTCTATGCACTATTTCCTGCAAGTTCCAGGGAGCGGGGTGTCCGATTGGGCCTCTGGGAGGGAAGTCTGTGTACAGCTGTGGACGGACAGCTGTGGACCACCACCTCGGAGAACTTCTAAACCAGCTCAGCTCCAAGGTGCTGCCAACAGTTGGTGTCTAGGCTCTAGGGCAGTGGTTCTCAACCTTCCTAATGCCGCGACCCTTTAATACAGTTCCTCATGTTGTGGTGACCCCCCAACCATAAAATTATTTTCGTTGCTACTTCATAACTGTAATTTTGCTACTGCTATGAATCGTAATGTAAATATCTGATATGCAGGATGTATTTTCATTGTTACAAACTGAACATAACTAAAGCATAGTGATTAATCACAAAAACAATATGTAATTATATACGTGTTTTCTGATGGTCTTAGGTGACCCCTGTGAAAGGGTCGTTCAACCCCCAAAGGGTCGCGACCCACAGGTTGAGAACCGCTCCTCTAGGGGAATCAGGGGCGGAGAGGTGGAGTCAGGATTGCGGCCGAGCTACAGGCAATCCCGTTAGGGGCTAGGGTGAATGGATAATGTGGATTTGCTTCTGTCCGTGTAAATCTGTAGGGAGCACAGGGCTGGAGTGGTTACTGGATGCGCAGCTTTCGTTAGGATTCTGTCCACGGAGCCAACCAAGGGTGGGGTTTGTAGTCTGGGGGCGACAGGTGAGTCGCCCTCGTGGAGCACAATTAGGCCTGTGGGTGGACCTGGCTTTCTGAGCGAAGGATGGGGGTTGCCGTCGGGGCGGGATCCAGGCAGACGGGGCCCAGGTGGAAGCGTCAGGCGTCCCCCAGATGCGCTCACCCGCGCGGCCCGCGTGTGAGATCTGCTTCAGGTCCAGCACGTGCGTGGCGAGGGCCACGTCCACCAGCGGCGCGTCATCCCGCAGCTGCAAACGAAGGCCGCGCGTCAGCGGCGGGAAAAGCTCCACGAAGCTCAGCTGCTCGTTCCACTCGGGCGCCGCCGCCTCTCCGCGCACCGACGTCTCGCCCTGAGCGCGCAGGCGAGGACAGGGGGCGGGGGGTCAGCGTGGGATGCGGGTCTGCGCTCGGCCGAGCGGGGACAGGAGGGACTGACCTGCTGGCCCAGGAAAGACACTCGCACATAGGGGTCCACGAGGACGCACCGGTCGTGCAGCGCGCGGGCCAGGCTGCCCAGCAGCCCCGGGCGCAGCGCCGGAAGCCCCTCCGCGCGGTACACTCGCACGCGCAGCCGCGCCCACGGCCTCTCCGCCGGCACCCGGCGGGGCAGCAGCAGGTTCCTAGGGGAGGGGCCGCTGAGAAGCCGGAATCTCCGCCCCTTCACGTCCCAGAGGCCCTGCCCCATCCTCCTCTTCCCCCCCACATCACCCCGGCTCACTTCTCGATGTCTGAACTGTGCCCCGGGCCCAGGGGTGGCGGCGGAGGAGGCAGATCACCGCGCGCCCTCAAGGACAACGTGACCTTGACGAAGCCTTTGGTCCCGGCGCAAGTGTCCCGCGGGTCATACAGCGGAGCCCATTTCTGGTAGAAGTGGCCATCTAGGAGCGGAGGGGCGGGCCAGGGGTCAAAGGAGAAAAGCGAGATACGTGGGGCGCTTGTCCGAGTGGTAGACAGGGCTGGGGTTCATGTCCCGCTCCGCAGGGAGGAACAGGAGTGCATGGAGGTCAGCGCTCGGAAGCGATTGCTGTCTGACACGGATCAGCCCAGACAGGTCAGTTTCTTGTCCTGGCAGGTAAGTTTTCATGAGGGACGGGTTCAGTACCTGGCTGATCGAAGATAATGCCCAAGTCCTTCCTGAAGGTGCCGAGTCGGGTGCCCACAAAGGGGAGGGTCTGCGAGTGGAAAGCCTGAGGAAAGTGGCGTTAATCCTGGAGGTTCGGCATCCCCCCTTGTCTAACAGAAACCTCTCACCTCAACCCCCTCACCGTAATCTCCAGCAGCAAATCTTGGAGGTGAAGTCGGGTCTCATGAAATTCGAACAAGAAGTACTGGGTTGAAGTGGGGAAACAAGGAAGATGAGAGAAGGTTATATGGGAAAGGTTCACACCAGCGGGACTCTGCCTCTTGCAAAGAAATGCTCTACTTACACCTACACCCCCCGCCCCATGGCTCCTCTTTGCACCCTTTAGGCCTAGCACTTGGCTCAAGTCCACCTCCTAGGCCATGCTCCCAGACAGCTCTTTATTCTGGGTCCCATCTATTCTCTTAGGCCTCCCTCCATCTTGGCCACACCCACCTCATTGTAGAAAGGGCATTTGTCCCGCCCTGTGTAGTGGTGACCGGGCGCTGCTCCCCAACACGCACAGCCATAGGGGTTAATGTTGACTCCCACCAGCTTCTGGGCCTCCAGCACGGTGACCCCCACCTGAAGGGTGCGGAGGAGGAGAAGAGGAAGCGAAGCCTACCAAGGGGGGGATGGGGGTAAGCTCCTGTGGTGGAGGGCAGGGGTTTCCCAAGGGTTACGGCCTGCAGGGAGAGCAGTACCTGGAAGTCCTGGGCCCTGGGCACCTGGAAGGGATCCCTTCGGGATAGGCCCCGGGCTCGGCTGTGGGAAGGGACATGATCAGGTGTCACTTCATGTCCTCCCACCACCATACCTTCAGTCCTGTTCGATGCTGGAGATAGATCTCCGCTTCCTCTGGACTTTAGGACTTTGAGTCCTTCTGATCTCATCTTGCCCCCATCTCAACACCCAGAATTTGACTCATTCCTGGAGCCCTAAAACCATTCATTCATTCAACAAAGATTTACTGAGCACCTCCTATGTGCCAACACTCTTCTAGGCACTGGGACACTGCAGTGACAAAAAGAGACAACATGTCTTGCCCTCATCAAGTTTTCATCACCTACCTGGGTCCCGTAAGCAGTATGTAAGTCAGAGTCACTGTGTGTATCTATGTGGCAGTGTCTATGCCTAGGAGGAAGGGACCATTAACCCCAGGATATCCATTCCTCACCCATATCCTGGAGCCAAGAATTTGTGAGCATGGACGGACACTAGGCCTGCATGTCTGAGCGAGTGAGGTTGACACACTGGTAGGGTGTGGGAGCAGGTGTGCAGGGTGTACAAGTCACCTCTTGAGGGAACTGAACACGACGCTGGAAAGCTCCACATCAGGCTCATCTTCCAGCTCCAGCTCCAGCTCATTGTCCTCATCGTCCTGCTGAGCTAGGCCTCGAGCTAGCCTGCAGCCCAATGCCACGGCCTGCCGCTCCAGCCGGGCCGCCCCAGGCCTGCTAGGAAGAGCCCTCAAGGGTGTCTGGGACCTGTCACACATCTCTGGGTACCCCTTAACTTCCCTGACCCTAGAACTGCCTCTGATCCTGAGACTAACCCCACTGATCCCAGGACTGACCCCTAACCTGGGGCATTTCTAGTTCCAGAATTGACTCCTGATTCTGGGACTGACTTCTAACCCTGGAATTGATCCAGTATTCACCCCAGACCCCACAACTGACCCACATCACTGGTTCTTAATCTAAAGAGTGACTTGGTGACCCAAGATCATCCCCATATACTTACTCTAGCTCCTGGAAACCCACATTGGGGATGACCAGCTCCGAGCTGAGAAGAAGAAAAATGAAGGAAATGAAAGGGCCAGGCCAAACTACAGAGCTGCAAACTGGGCAGCATGAATGCCAGGTCACCATATCCAGCAGAGCCAGAGTGGAACTGGGTACCACATCTCCCTCCCCAAGGCCTACCTGGGTGGGGACCACCAGCTCTTGCTTGGGTTTGGAGGGTAATGATTTACCTGTCCTGAGTGGGTGCCCCAAAGTCTTCCTCTGCCCAGGCTCCAGTTGCACCCTCTGGGGGCTGGTACTTCAGGTCAAGCTCCACCTGGTTCTGCAACCAGATACACAGTGTGGTCCAGGGCCCCTCAAACTGCCATGGGGCTAAGAGAAGCCCAAGGACAATGCCTTGTCCTCCACCTATAAACAAAGACCCTCCTGGCCTGCATCTGTGGTGACTTGTAATTCCTCTCTGACCATTACTAATATTGACTACTCACAACCTATTAAGAACTTACCATGTGCAAGTTATCTCTTGAAGGGGCCAAACAGGACTCCAACATTCTCCGATTGCCCTTGGAAATCCATTACTGTGGCCTTCACAGCTGAGCATGGTCTGGCCTCTGCAAACCTTTTCAGCCCCATCTCTTAGGGATCTGCTCCTGCCCTGCCCTCCAGTTATGTATTGTCAGGGCACTAGGCTTTTGCCCATGCCAGTTCTTCTGCCTGGAACAATCTCTCCTCTGAGTTAACTCCTATCATCCTTCATTCCCAAGCTCAAGCACTACTTCCTCAGGGAACCTATTCTGACCCCCAAATAGACCACATTCCTCTGTTATACACTCTCCAAGCCCTCTACCAGCTCTCTTATAAGACTGGCCAGTGACAATTTTACACTTCTTTGTGTGGATATTTGTTTAATATTTGCCTCTCTTTTAGCTATGGAGCTCTAAGAGAGCAAATTATCTGGCTTTGTTCACCACTCAGTCCTCATTGGTCAGCTCAGCACTTGGCTTATGATGACAGTTCAACAAATGATGACAGACTGAATGAAAAGCTCATTTTGTATGATTCCACAGAATGTAAATGAGGAAACAGCCTAGGAAAATTAAATAACTTGTTCAAGTTCTCAGCTGGGAAATGGTAGATCTGATATTTGAACCCAGGTCCATTTCTACCAGGCTCTACTGACCCCCATGACACACCAGGAAAGTCTAGCCAACTTTATCTTTGTCTCCCGCAAGACTTGTGCCTAGGGCAGGGAGCAGCACAGTACTTCTTACCTTTCCCCATTGTCACATCCCTGACCCTCAGAGCCCACGTGGGACTTCAGCAGGGGCTGCAATGAAAGGAGCCCTGTCTCAGGGGGAGGGGTTTACCACTTCTGTCTGGGTCTAGTTTTTCCCCTCTGAGAAATGTAATCTTCTATGCAGTGGTTCTCAACCTTCTGGCCCTTTAATACAGTTCCTCATGTTGTGACCCAACCATAAAATTATTTTCGTTGCTACTTCATAACTGTAATGTTGCTACTGTTATGAATCGTAATGTAAATATCTGCTATGCAGGATGGTCTTAGGTGACCCCTGTGAAAAAGTCATTCGACCGCCAAAGGGGCTGCGACCCACAGGTTGAGAACCGCTGATTTAGAGGGACTCTGAGGCTTGGGGGTGGCAGGCTAGGGGCTGGTGGGACTCACCGGGGACACTTGCAGATTCTTATCCACTAGGGCCTCCTGCAGCACCAAATGCCGAGCGATCTGTAGCTGCTGTAAGGAAATCACCAGGGTCCCCAGAGGCCTGTGGGTGTGGCATGGAGCAGAAGAGTGACCCGGAGAATGGCCCCAAGCCACCACAGGAGCCAACCCTCCAAACTTGAAGCCAACTTATAACTGATCTTTCAAACCTGGAATCTCCCCCCACCCTGCCCTGGCCCCAACATGGGGTTGACTCCAAACTAGGCTGATCTGGGAAAACTATCAATCAAAGTCCCCCATCTTAATTCTGATTTGTCTCAAGCTGGGTCTGACCTCTCAAGCTTGAGACTGACCCCACCTCCTGAGACTATACCTCTCAAAACCCAGGAATGAACCCTCCAACCCCAGGATGGACTTAGATGGGACACAGACCAGCTTTTCCCCATCCAGGACTCAACCTCACTGACCTCACCGATATCTGCTTCTTGGCCACAGTGAATTCTCCTTGTTTTCTGGGTAAAACCTGCTCAGAATTGAATCTAGTCATTTACCATCCCCTCCCCATGCAAAAAATTACACACACACACACACACACACACACACACACACACACACAATCCTTGGCCCAGAGTCCAGTCCCCCTAGACTCACTTTTAAAGAAAGGTAGAAGATAGAGAGGGAAGGAGGCACAGAGTTGGGTATTGGACTAAGAAGACAGGGAACAGGCTATAGAGATACCCAGGGATGGGTCTGGAGGCCATGGGAATAGAGCTTTCCAGTTCCAAAAATTCTTAGCACACCCCTGCAAGCCTCACCCCGAAAGCTGAGCCTCACTTGTCGGTCATGAGTTCCCGGCAGCCCCGTCAGTCGCCGCACACACACAGTCAGAGCCATCGTCCCAGGGCCACTGGCTCTACCTCTACCCTCCTGCCCATCTTCCCACACACCTGAATCGCCTCTGAGTCACTGGATTCACGCAGCAGCTTTCAGCAATCCCTGCCCTTTAGTCAAACAGACAGCAGGCTTGGAGGTCATAGGTGGGGAAGGAGTGGGAGGACTGAGAGATGGGTGTAAGGTCCCTCTGGTCAGCTCAGTCCTCCCTCCTTGAACAACCTTCAGCCTCCGTCCTGCATTCTTGTGTGGTGGGAGCTGGGACCCAGCAGAGATGGAGGCAAAGGGAGAAGATAGCACCCTGGTTTGGTCCAGCTAGCCTATGTGGCCTTCAGGGCATGGGACCTCACGTAGTTAGGGCCTCGTTCACCTCTCTGTCCTCATTGCCAAGCTCATTCTCTGGTTACATTGTAGACCCTCAAAACACTGACTGAGCCTGGCCGGTGTGACTCAGTGATTGAGCATTGATCCGTGCACCAAGAGGTCACTGATTTGATTCCTGGTCAGGGCATATGCCCGGGTTGTGAGCTCGATCCGCAGTAAGGGGTACGCAGAAAGCAGCCAATCAATATTTCTCCCTCACTGATGTTTCTCTCTCTCCCTTTTCCTCTCTCTCTAAAAATCAATACAAATATATTTTTTAAAACACTGGCTGAATAAACGGGTGGGTTAATAGATGAATCCTGTAGCCCCCAGCATTAGTACTGTAGGCACTCAACACATTTATTGAATTAATAAGTGATTGAATATGTCCTTAGCTTGCACATAACAGGTGCAAAAGCACTTCTTAACCAGAAGCCAGAGGTTCTTGAGGTTTACTAGTGGGACTGTAGATGAGCTCCAGGGAGTCAGCAAACTCTTAAAATTCTCTGTAAAATATTGAGCACATGTGCATTTTTCTGGACATAGAACTCCTAGCTTAGGACAATAACCCTTAAACAGATGTGTAGTACTTTTACTAAATGTGTGAAGGAATTAATGGATCCTGTAGTCTTGAACCAGTGGGTGACAATAACTATGTTCTGAGTGTATTTCATGGCCATCCACCTAATCGTTCTACTTCATGGCACCTCCTATGGGCGGGACTTGTGCTATGACACCCTGAGGGAAAGGGTTTGCAGCCAGAGATGAATTGGGCATGTTCTCTGTCTTCCAGTAGCTTTGTGGACTCCAACATCAAACATAGCCTAAATTACAGTGGTCGGCAAACTGCGGCTCGCGAGCCACATGCAGCTCTTTGGCCCCTTGAGTGTGGCCACGAAGTTTCAATTGCACTGTACGTGCGTGCCCGCACGTGGTATTTTGTGGAAGAGCCACACTCAAGGGGCCGCAGTTTGCCGACCACTGGCCTAGAAAGACTGCAATCCCCATCAGAACAGAAACAAGTCAGGCTGGGTGGCTTGGAGGAAGCCCCAGAGGGGTCCCCTGGGGAGGGAGCCTTTAAAACGGGTGTTGAGGACAGGAGTTGAGCAGAGATGGCTATCCAGGCAGTGCGGAGCAATGCAGGGTGTGTTCCTGGATCTGTGATTTGTTCAGTTTGACCTTCATGTAAGGTATGTACAGCTGCAGCAGATAAGATTAGACCCTCTCTCGGCCTCAACCCCTCTAAGAACTGCCACTTCCACTTTCTAATATTCCAAAGAAGATGGGATGTAGTGGAAAGAGTACTGGGTTTTGAAATTCTAATCTCTATCACCCATTGTGTGGTTTTAGGCACGTCCTTTCTGCCCTCTGGACCTGTGTGCTTAGCTGCGCAACGTGCACAGGATTCACTGAATTGCTTGCAAAGCATGGCCTTAATCAGGACCACACATGTAGTCATTAAAAATGCATATTCCTGCCCAGCCGGCATGGCTCAGTGGTTGAGCGCAGACCTACATACCAGGAGTTCACACGGTTCAATTCCCACTCAGGGCACATGCTGGGGTTGCAGGCTTGATCCCCAGTGTGGGGCATGCAGGAGGCAATCAATGATTCTCTCTCATCATTGATGTTTCTACCTCTCTCTTCCTCTCTGAGATCAATAAAAAATATTTTAAAAATAAAAATGCATATTCCTGCACCCACTCTAGAGATGCTAAAGCAGAATCTCAGGGTACACCTGGGAACCTGAATCTCTATACGCTGCTGCACAGGAGTCTGTGAACCTCTGGTCTCTTGGCTGTGGCCATCTGTGATTTCCCCATTCCCTTCCCTGCGACTCAGTTGGCTGGTTTTCGCGTGGGTATGATGTTTGGTGGGCGGGTACTGAATTTTCACCCCACAGACCCCTGGCGAATATAGGTCTGAGAGAGAGACCCACAGATCCCCTGATGTCAGAGTTCTCAAGGCCTCGTGACTAGGATGAGAGGAGGGGCCTGAAGGGTTTGCAAAGCAAAAGAGACCAGATGTTTATTTAGAAGTCCTCTGGGAGATCCCTTGCCCTGCTTAGCATTCATTCATTCATAAATATTTGAGAGCCTATTACATGCTAAGCCTGTGGAAGGTACCAGAGGATGTAAGAAGATAGGAATTCTTTTAAGCCGAGTGCAGGGTCGGATAGGGTGCTCTGGGAAGTGCTGTGATGTCACTGCTGGCTTTAACACGGGAAAGAATAAGGCTGCCCTGGCTTCCAGCGACGTCACGATGAGCTCTGTGACGCTGGGTCACGGCGTTCCGCGGCGGCCGCGGTCTCCTCTATGATGTCAGCGGACGGGCCCAGAAACACGGCAGCGGGCTGGGTCTGGCTGCGGGGCCCGCCGGCTGCAGCAGGCTCCGTGGGTCCCGGCGGCGCGCACCCGCGGAGGGAGGGCCGAGGGCTTGGCGTGGCGGCGGCGACTTTGGCGTCCGCGAGGCGCCGGCGCAGAGTCAGGATGCGGCGGAGCCCCCGCCCGGGCTCGGCCGCGTCCCCGCACAAGCACACGCCCAACTTCTATAGCGACAACAGCAACAGCTCAGTGAGCACCACCTCGGGGGACAGCAGCGGCCATCGGTCAGCTGGGCCGGGGCCCGGGGAGCCCGAGGGCAGGAGAGCCCAGGGCTCGAGCTGCGGTGAGCCCGCCTTGAGCTCAGGAGTGCCCGGAGGAACCGCACGGGCCGGAAGCTCTCGGCAGAAGCCGGCGCTGCGGAGCCACAGTGCGCCGACCGCCGAAGGCGCGGCAACCGTGAGGGGCGGGGCCTCGGGTGCGGGCGGGGTCGAACCCGGGTAAGCCGCGGGAGGGGACGGGGGCTCACCGGGCCGGGCTGGGCACGGAACCGGGATAAGACTAAATCTGGGCGCCTGCTAACGGGCGGGGCTCACAGGGTGCAGCGGGGAGACCCTCAGGCTGTGATGGACGTCCCCGGGAAGAGCGGAGAAAAGCCTGTGATTGGGGACCGAGGAGGCGTGGCCTCTGTTAGCCAGAGTGACCACCTAGGACGGGCCGAACCCAGACCTACAACTGGGGGCGGGACCAGCATGTGAGGGCGTGTCCGAGGGGCGGGGCCTGGGTGGGGCTGTGGTGGGACCCAAGCCTGAGCGGTGCCCGCCTTCTGGGCTGGGGAGCTTGCGTCTGGGTCTCCGGGAAAGAATGAGCCCGCAGTGCGCAAGGCCCAATGGAGCCCCTGGGCGCCCGCAGAACCGGCTGGCTGTCCCGTTGTCTCTGAGGAGCGGTTCAACCTTCTCTCGACCCTGGATCTGAGGCAGGAGATGCGGTCCCCGCGAGTTTTCAAGAGCTTCCTGAGTACGTGCCAGGCTCGCCCGGATCCCCTCCAACCCTCCAGCCTCCCTCCCTGAATTCCAGTTCTTGTCGCCGAGACCCCTGTTCTCCGTTCTCGTCCGCGGCCCATGCCTGAGTCGACAGCCCCTTCCCTGATCCCGGCCCACCTCCTCTGAGCCTGAACTCACGCTCTCTGCTCCCATCTACTTCTCCTGCCCGGACCCTCTTCCTCTCTACCCCTCTCTAAGCCGTAGTCCTGTCGTCTCTGAACCCCCTCTCCTCTTCCCAGCCCCACTTTCCCAGGTGCTGAGCGTGTTTTTATCCCTGCTAGGAGAGGTGCTGGTCACTGTGTACAGGTCAGAGGGAGGAGAGGGGGAGCCCCAGGGGCTGCTCTTGAGAGGAGGTGGGGAGCGGGCCCCACACGGCTGAGGTTTGAGCCAATTCAGACCTGGTTGGGCCGTGTTCGTAGGAGTTGCTGGATCTAAGAGCCTGGGGTGGGGGCTGTGGGGTTCACTAGGGTCCTGGGGCCTCAGCCTCCCTCCGGTTCTTCAGGGAAGTCTGTTCCATTCGCTTCCTGCTCACGGCTGTGTCACTGCTGAGCCTCTTTCTGACAGGTGAGGTGGTGAATTCCCTGGGGCCCCAGCCCTGGATGCTTTGGAGCCAAACCAGGCGCATTTTCTCCTATAGCCCTCTGCCCCCTCAGCTCTCCGCAGTCTCCTTCAGAGCCCCGTAGTCCCCCCTCAGACTCAGACCCCTCAGCCTCTTCGTCATTGTCCTTTATGCCAGAGAAACCCTGTTCCCCTTCCTTCCCCTGAGACCACCCCCCTCTTTCTCCAGCACTCTGGTGGGGTCTCCTGTACCTGGTCCCTCCTTTGGAGAGTGTGAGTCTGGGAAACTGTGTCCTGAGGTGGGTGGGTGGCAGGCTATGAAACTGGAGATTGTGGGGTGTCCCTTGGGCTGCTGGGAGGAGGGACAGTGCTGAAAGGGCTGGATATAAATAGATTTCTGAGATTGTGTCCAGAGGTGCTTGAGGGTCTCTGAGGGGTCCTGGAAGGTCGGGAGGGGATGGCAGTCCGCAAAAGGCAGGCCCTTGGAGTCTGGCTGCTCTCAGACGGAAGTGGGACAAGGGGGTGGGTGGGAACTGAGCAGCGCTGTATTTTGTCCCTCCCTCCAATAGGAACCTGAGATGCTGACTATCAGGTGAAAGATGGCACCTGGGGTGTGGAATTGGGGGACTCAAAGGTGCTCCTGTGGAGGGGCTTACGGGAAGTGTCCCGGGAACAGGGAGCCAACCACACTGTGCCAACCTCCTGCCTGCAGCGAGTACCACGAGCGCGTGCGCACCCAGGGGCAGCAGCTGCAGCAGCTGCAGGCCGAGCTGGATCAACTCCACAAGGAGGTGTCCAGCGTTCGCGCAGCCAACAGCGAGGTGAGCCCTGCCGCATCCTGCTCTTACAGCCAGGACCCAGGGGTGTCCAAGAGCTCCGCCTGCTGCACAGCCCCGTTCGCTGGGTCCTGAACCTTAAAGCCCTGCCCCAGAGCCCCAACTTCGTGATTTCTCTCGGGGCCCCCAAGTCCATACCAGACAACTATAAAATCAGCCCGCAAGCCCCGTCCTCCCTCTTTTCAGAGAGTGGCCAAGCTCGTATTCCAGAGGTTGAATGAGGACTTTGTTCGAAAACCCGACTATGCGCTGAGCTCTGTGGGTAAGACCCATGGACACTGAGAAACTGAGACCCAGAGACACGGAAAGACGCAGACATTGACATAGACCTTTACATATGACCGACCCTAGGAGTCCGACCACCGACAGACCCTGACCCAGCTGCTGGTCCGGCCTGAGAGTCTGAGTGGTTGCTTCTCCCCTGTTCCAGGAGCCTCCATCGACTTAGAGAAGACATCCCGTGACTACGAGGACGCAAACAGCGCCTACTTCTGGAATCGCTTCAGCTTCTGGAACTATGCGCGGCCACCCATGGTTATCCTGGAGGTGGGCCTGAACACTGATCCCAGAGCGGGCCTGGGGGCGGGACGCTGGGGAACGAACCCAATAGCTCTCTGGAGGTGGGACCTAGCTGAGCCGAGATGGGGCCGTGGCCTAGGCGGGGCCCTGCGGGGCCAATGGGCCGGGCTGGAGGCCGGACCTGGCTTGGCTGAAGCTCCTTTTGCAGAGAAACCTGGCAAGAGGTAGGGACTGGGGACTAGGGCACCTGTCTAAGCAGGTGCTCGGACTGGAGGTGGAGGTGGAGGACTGAGCCCGGCGGAAGACTCAGTCGAGCTGAGAGCGCTGCCATTGTGAACCCATGCTCAGGCTGGAGAAGGGCAAAGTCGCTCGGTCTTCGGATTCTGATCCACTGACTGTCCTGTCTGATTGCAGCCAGATGTGTTCCCTGGGAATTGCTGGGCTTTTGAGGGCGACCAGGGCCAGGTGGTGATCCGGCTGCCGGGTCGTGTGCAGCTGAGCGACATTACCCTGCAGCATCCTCCTCCCAGTGTGGCACACACAGGGGGGGCCAACAGCGCCCCCCGCGATTTCGCAGTCTATGTGAGTGGGACTGAGGCCAAGGAGGTGGGGGATTTTGCTTAGAAAGCACCAGGCACTCATGAAAACTGGTGCCAACGAGTCTTCACTTGTGCATCTATAAACTGGAGATACCATTTGCCTGTCAGGGCTGCCATAGGTTATAAGTCATTACAACAACATCCAAATACTGATTGTGGTTTAACGAGCGCTAACTCTGCTTTATCTCCTTGCATTTACACAACTTATGTTCCTTGTACAGATGAGAAAAGTAATGCTTAGAAAGGGGACCTTACGTGCCCAAGGTCACACAGTTAATTGGCCAGACTGCAAATTGCAGCCCGGTTTCTCTGAGCCCACACTCCATGCTACACTACCCCAACACCGAACATAAGTAAGAGCACGCATACAGCTACTAACACCTACATAGTAGGCCCTCCAGTTGCTTTCTCCACCTGTGCCTCACTGTTCATTCACTCTTCATCTACCAGGGCCTCCAGGTTGATGATGAGACGGAAGTTTTCCTGGGGAAATTCACCTTCGACATGGAGAAATCTGAGATTCAGACTTTCCACCTACAGGTGTGTTTGTCTCTGAGGATGAGGGTGCCAAGGGAATGGAACAGGGAGGGAAGATTGGGGAGGAAGGCAGTCCTTGGCACAATCCATTTGTCTTCCCAGAATGACCCCCCAACTGCCTTTCCCAAGGTGAAGATACAGATTCTAAGCAACTGGGGTCACCCCCATTTCACATGCTTGTATCGAGTCCGAGCCCATGGCATGAGAACCTCGGAGGAAGCAGGGGACAGTGCCACAGGGGGGCCCAATTAAACATGCTGATTGTTAAAATAGAGTGGAGGTCTGTGCTGAAAGAAGCTGGAGCTGGATCAGTGCTGGAGGGTCTGTTGGGAGCTCTGGTTGCCTTTAGTATATAAATATGATAGGGGGTCTACCTCCCAATGCAGCCTCTCTTTTCTTGGAGAAGTCCAGGTCAATATAGGAGTAGCAGCTCTTGTTTATGGATGTTTCCATGTAAAAGAGATGGTACTTTGGACATTACAAACATTATCTAACTAATCCTCACAACCACCGAGGGGGAGACCACTCAAGGTCATATACCTAGGGAGGAACAGCATCACAGAGGCACCCAAGCCCACCTTCCTCCAGAGGCCACCCTTTTACTGCAGAGCTGCCAGTCAGCCTGAAGCCATGCTGTGAACCTGTTCCCACTCCCAGCCTCTGGGAAAGCCGCCTTTCCTCAGGTAAACACTCAAAAACTGAGGCTTAAGAACTTCTAGGAAGCATCTAAGTCAGAGTTGATGCAGGCCTCATAGCCCCTACTTAGGTTATCTTCACTGAAACCTCAGTGCCCAACTCAATACTAGGCACAATACAGATGGCCTAGTGTTCACCAGTCTCTGCCCTCAAGAAGCCTGGTAGGAAAGAGAGGATGCTCCAGAAACGGCAATTCATTTACTGATCCAAGAATTCTTCATTAAAAAAGAATTAGAGGAATAAAGGATGGGGACAGTCATCAAAGGGTTAATGAGTTCTACCTGGGCAGAGCAGAAAAGGGTGACCAGTATCAGCAAAGACACAGACAGCATCTTGGCTGTTAAAATCCTTCCCCGTGTGTTCATGTTTTGGAAGAATATACGCACTATTAACAATGGTAACCCTCTAGGAAGTGTACTGGAGCACATATCCATCTGTTAATTTGGGGGGTATTTTGTAATTGGAAGACAAAGGAAAAAGGTTCTCTCAAATGGCCTCAAGCCTAAAATTAGAAATATGAACTCTCATACAGCTTTTCTGGAGGGCAGTTTCACAATAGGAACCAAAAGCCTTAAAATTTGTATACTCTCAATCACTGCAATTCCATCTTTATGGATCCAAAGGATACACAGATGTAATAAAAAATACTTTAAAAATATTTTTATTGATTTATAGAGAGGGAGAGGGAGAAAGAGAAACATCAATATGAGAGAGAAACATCAGTTGCCTCCTGTATGCATCCTGACCGGGACCAAACCCACAACTTGGGCATGTGCCCTGACCAGAAAATAGAGAACCAGCAACCTCTCAGAGAACAGGACGATGCCCAACCAATTATTGAGTCACATTAGCCAGGGCCAAAGAAAATACTTTTAAAAATATTCATCACACGGTTTATAAAGAAAAAAACTCAAAATAGCATCTAAGAAGATAAATCATGTTACAAAAATTACATGTAGCCAATAGAAACGGTAATATAAGGTAATGTTATAGAAAGTAATTGATATATGACTAATTTCTTTAAAAGCAAGCTAGACTGCCCTGACCATCATCCCAATCACCAAAAGGTTGCAGGTTCAATCCCTGGTCAGGGTGAAGGTGGGAGGCAACCAAGCGATATTTCTCTCACATCAATGTTTCTTTCTCTCCCTCCCTCCTTTCCTCCTCCCCTAAAATAAATAAATCATGCATATCCTTGGACAAGGATTTTTTTTAAAAAGGCAAACGACTGGCATACATAAAAAAATTTTAACTTCCATATGAAAAGAGTTCTATAAACCAAAAGATACTATACCGTAAACAAAGAGTGTCCTGGGAAGAAATATTTTCAACATGTAAAGAAAGAACTGAATAATAATAGAATAAAGGCTATAAAAACCTATAAATAACGTGGCTTAGGTGGTTGACTGTGGTCCAGTGCACCAAGAGGTTGCTGGTCAGGGCACATGCCAAGATTGCAGGCTCAATCCCAATAGGGGGCATGCAGAAGCAACAGATTGACAGTTCTCTCTCATTGATGTTTTTCTCTCCCCCTCTCTCTAAAAAAACCAATAAAAATATATTAAAAGACTAAAAGTACAAACCTGTAAATAGGCTATCCATAAGAAATAAAATTCATACGCCAAGGTACAAATTGATGCTTCTCTGTTTCTCTTCCTCTCTCTCTAAAATCAACGCATTAAAAAAAAAAAAAAAACTCACAAAAGCATATGAAATAACCTTCATAACTAAATTATTTTATTTTATTTTATTTTTTAAATATATTTTATTGATTTTTTACAGAGAGGAAGGGAGAGAGACAGAGAGTCAGAAACATCGATGAGAGAGAAACATCGACCAGCCGCCTCCTGCACATCCCCCACCGGGGATGTGCCCGCAACCCAGGTACATGCCCTTGACCGGAATCGAACCCGGGACCCTTCAGTCCGCAGGCCGACGCTCTGTCCACTGAGCCAAACCGGTTTCGGCTAAATTATTTTATTTTATATTATTATTGCCTTTCAGATAACAGAAGGGGTAAAACCCTTGCTATCGAGGGCAATTTACAATATTAAAAATTTATCCATTCAGCCACTTGATGTCTTTTGATTGGACCTTTTAGTCCATTTACATTTAAAGTTATTATTGAAAGGTACTTGTTTGTAGCCATTTCTATTTTTTTGTGGCTGTTTTCTTTCTGGGCTTTTTCTTCTTTTTACACCAGTCCCTTTAGCATTTCTTGCATTGCTGGCTTGGTGGTGATAAACTTCCTTAGCCATTTTTTGTCTGTGAAGCTTCTTATTTCCCCTTCAATTTTGAATGATAGCCTTGCTGGATAGAGTATTCTTGGATTCAGTCCTTTGCTTTGCATCACTTTGTAAATTTCTGTCCATTCTTTTCTGGCCTGATGTGTTTCTGTTAAGAAATCATTTGATAATCTGATGGGGGATCCTTTGTAGGTAACTCTCTGTTTCTCTCTTGCAGCCTTTAAGATTCTCTCTTTGTCTTGTACATTTGCCATCATTATTATGACGTGTCTTGGTGTGGGTCTTTTGGGGTTCATCTTGCCTGGGACTCTCTATACTTGTGTAACTCTTTTCTTCCCCATATCTGGGAAGTTTTCTGTCATTATTTCTTCAAATAGATTTTCTAATCCTTGCTGCTCTTCTTGTCCTTCTTGCAGCCCTATTAGCGTATGTTACTTCGTTTCATGTTGTCCCAAAGCTCCCTTAGGCTCTCCTCCTGCTTTTTAATTTTTTTCTCCAGTTGCTGTTCAGATTGAGCTTGTTTCTCTGCCTTATCTTCTAACTCACTAATTCGGTCCTCTGCTTCTTCTAGTCTGCTGATGAAACTTTCCATGGTGTTTTTGATTGTAGCTATATCACTTTTCATTTCTTCCTGATTCTTGCATAGGTTGTTGATTTTCTCATCCATCCGGTGAATGAATTGTACAACCATTATTCTGAATTATTTTTCTGTCATGTTGCATGCTTCAACTTCATTAATTTCCTTTCTTGGTGACTCCTCATTGTCTTTCCTCTGGGGGTTGTGTCGTCTCCCCATTCTGATTATCTCCCGATGGTTCAAACACCAAGTTGCGTGGGCCTGGGCCGTGTGCAGTAGGAGCCTCCCACCACCCTAGTGTCACTGAAGAGCTCTGACACTAAGATGTGTGGTTGTTGTGGGTTGGTGGGAACCAGGCTCGCTCTGAGTCAGTGTTGCCAGCGCTCAATGTGGCCTCGTACGCGCCCTTAGAATCAGGGACCCTGCCTGCACTGTGCTGAAACAGAGACCCCCCTGGAGCGTGTTGAAAACCAGAGCTCCCTAGCGTGCACCAGGAGTCAGAGTTTCCCAAGAATCCAGTATCAGAGTCTCTGTTGCTTCGCAGGACCTCACCTTGAGAATCAGGGTCCCTGTGTGCCCTTGCACCAGGAATTGGAGTCACTGGCTCTTAGTATGAATGCATAGGGAATCAGGATCTCAGGCTCAGGTGATAAGAAACACAGTCAAGTCACTGGTGCTTGGTGCTGCCTCCTGCCCAGAGAATCGGGGTCCCTGGGCCTGTGCTACGCGGGATAAATTCCGGGTGTTCACGCGACTGCTCCCAGCCCAGGGCTCCTGGAGCAGGCAGTGCGAGCAGGACCAGTTCCCGGTGTTCGCGCAGCTCCCAGCCCAGGGCTCCGAAGCCGGCAGTGCACGTATGATCAGTTCCCTGTGTTCGCGCGTTTGCTCCCAGCCCAGGACTCCTGAACCCAGCCCTATGCGGGATCAGTTCCAAGGTGCTTGTGCACTTCCAGGCCAAAGTTCCTGCAGCGCTGAGGCCCCGGCAAGGGGTGGGTCTATCAGTTAGTTACTCTGGCACTGCCCTCGAGCCTGCGGGAAGGGGGGACGGGCTCTGTTACTCACGGATCTGCCGCGGGGATTTCTGAACTTTTGGTGTCCGCAGGTCTGTAGCTGTGGTCACAGGTCTCTGTCCCCAGTGGCTGCAGGGTCCTGGTATGCGTCTGAGATCAGACTGGGTGGTGCTGAGGCCAGGATCCTAGTCTCAAGCAGCTCTGTTTCCCAAGATGGCGTGGTCGCTGTGCCTGTGCTGGCCGCCCAGGAGTGTCCGCGCAGGGAGCGGGACTCCGCCGCCTAAGACTGCCCGGTTTAGCAGCCCCTTAGAAGACCTGCAGAGTCTAACTGTCCCTAGCTCATACACACACACCACACACGTCCACACACTCCTCTATCACTTCCTTGCGCTCTCACACGCGCTCCCTCCCTACCTTCCTGCTGGTCGCCATTTTGTGGGGGCACAATATTAAAAATTTAAAGAAATGTTTTTATTGGTATTTTAGAGAGAAGGGAGAGGGATAGACAGAGATAGAAACATTGATGAGAGAGAAACATCATGGATGGCTGCCTCCTGCATGCCCTCCACAGGGAATTGAGCCCACAATCCAGGCATGTGCCCTGACCGGGAATTGAACCTGTGGCCTCTTGGTTCCTGGGTCGATGCTAAACCGCTGAGCCATACTGGCTGGGCACAATATTAAATTTTTAAATATACTGACTTAACATTTCCATTTCAAGGAACAAATCCTTCAGAAATGCCCCTGTAAATGCCGTTAAACAATTCAGGCTTGTGGCTTATTTTAGGACTAGAACTCCACTGCTCCCTCCCCAGGAGATCTAGCATAGCCCTTGCTCCATCTTAGAACCCATCCCTCCCCTAATATTTTCCACCTTGTCCTGCGTTCCCAGCTCAGTTCTGCTCTGAGGCAGGGCAGGCTGGGTATTTGGTTTACATTCAATCTTTGTATTTTCAAAAATAGAGTCAGTGTCCCTAGATATCTGGGTAGAAATACGCTATTTCTTTGAGTGAGGCTATTATGTAAGAGGCATCCTTTATTCAATCCCTAAAGTCAACAATAGGCTCAGAGAGAAGCAAACATGGCTAATAGCAGATTCCCACCCAAAAACACACAGAGTGGTTGACAAAGCAGTGGTCATCATTGATCTTTATTGAATGAGGGGCTCCAGGGGCAAAAAGGTACAATCAGGAGCAGCAATAGCAGGAGCAAATATAAAAGTATAAAATATAAAGTGCTAGCACTGAGGAGTGTGTGCAGGGGTGGGCGCTGGTGCATATAAACCTTGGGGACACAGGGCTGAGGACCAGCCACAACCTACCCTCCAGGAGAATCTAGGGCTGAGGGGCCTGTGCAGGATCCTTGGCTGGGAGTGGAAGAGGCTTGCAGGGGGCCCAACCTTGGGCCTTGAAGTAGGAGACCAGTTGTCCAGGTACTTCTGCAAGCACAGTCTGTGCCAATGCCTCCCGAGGAGCCTGCCCAGAGAAGAGGGGCAAGGTCAGTGGGGCCCATAACAGCTTCCCAAGGCCTACATATTATACCCATGAAGGGATATAAAACCCAACACCCAACCCTGCCCCAGACTTAGAGGAAAGGGTATCTCTAACCTCTTACATCAGGGAAAGGTAGAAGGGTAAACTCCCAGATCTGGTCTGTCCCCAAGCTTGACCCCACTCACATTCTGAAAGCGGCGGTAAGGCACAAACTGCACTATGTCACGGGCAGCTCCCTCCCCGGAACGTGTACGCAGGGGTCCACCATCAGCATCCAGCTGCTCCATGGCCTCGAAGTCAGCACCACCCACACCCACAATGATCACTGACATGGGCAGGTGAGAGGCACGAACTACAGCCTCACGTGTGGCCTCCACATCAGTCACAGCACCATCAGTTAGCAGCAACAGCACGAAGTATTGCTGGGGACAAGTGGATTCATATACTGAGTCAGACCTTTTAAACACCCCAGCCACACATTCCCACACTGGCAAGAGCCCTCAAGGGAGCCACTGACTGAGACCATCCCACCACCACCACTAACTCCCACAACCCTCACCGAGGCAGTCCTCTGATGTGCAGCCTGAGCTGCAAACCTGGCTACATGGTTGATGATGGGTGCAAAATTGGTGGGGCCATAGAGGCGAACTTGGGGCAGGGCTTGACGGTAGGCATCCACAATACCCTGGATACCTAGAGAAGAAGGGCAAAAAACACTATAAAATACTGGTACACTCGGGACTGAGCCAGGCCTGACATCATCCCATCCTGGGTGAAGAGATTTGGGAACCTGGTGCATTTCATTCAATCACCCTGGTAACCCAGGATACTTAACCTTATCCTACAAATGAGGAAAGTAAGGCCAAAGACAGGAGGGACACTTGCCCTATATCACAGCTTGAATTAAAACCCAGTTTAGGCCGAACCGGTTTGGCTCAGTGGATAGAGTGTCAGCCTGCGGACTCAAGGGTCCCAGGTTGGATTCCGGTCAAGGGCATGTACCTTGGTTGCGGGCACATCCCCACTGCGGGGCGTGCAGGAGGCAGCTGAACGATGTTTCTCTCTCATCGATGTTTCTAACTCTCTATCCCTCTCCCTTCTTCTCTGTAGAAAATCAATAAAATATATTAAAAAAACAAAAAACAAAAATAAAACAGTTTAGGGGAATACCCTGAAAAATCCAAGGCAATTGAGCATTAAATTACAATTCAATAACAATTGTAAATTACAATCCATTTAATAAAATATTAAATAATGAGAGATAAGGAAAAGCTCTTCCTTAATAAAAGTAGAAGGAAGAATTACAAAATAATTTGACAATCAGAAATAACTGATTCAGGTAA